CGTTCTTCACTCAAGGACGAAACACATTGACATTAGGCATCATTTCATTAGAGATCATGTTCTCAAAGGTGATGTCGAAATTGAGTTCGTTGAAACACACAACCAATTAGCCGACATTTTCACAAAACCTTTAGAGAAAGAGTCGTTCTTTCGCATTCAAAGTGAACTCGGAATCCTTGACTCCACGATGATCTAAGTTGTGCATCTAAATTTACTAAACATCTACTAACTTGAGCGTCGGAGAACTTTTTCTTTTTTGCAGGTACCCCGTCCATAAAATCAGGGGGAACCATGCAAACAGCGCTGTCCAGGAGACACAACAGCGCTGTTTAGGGAAACACCGTCAACCAGAAAGTTCTCCAACAGCGCTGTCTATCTAGACCAACAGCGCTGTCCTAGGAGTACCTTACACTTTTACTTCCAGAAACTTTTTCAACAGCAATGTCGTTTAGAGCAACAGCGCTGTCCAATTTTACAAATTTTTTTTATCATAAAACAGCGATGTAGAGAAACCCAACAGCGCTGTTCAAATGGGTTCAAACCCTTTCACCATTCCAGAAACTTTTGAAACATCGCTGTAGGGCACTCAACATCGCTGTCGGTTTTACTCTTGTTTTTTTTTAAAACTTGACGCAGAATAGCGCTGTACAAGGAACAACAGCGCTGTCCCAACAGCGATGTCGCCTGTAGAACATCGCTGTTCTGGTCAAATTTTTCAAAAAAAAAATATCCGTTGCACCTGCTTTAATTGCTCCAACAACTCTTTTTTTCAAATTCTTGAACGTTGGCCACCCTCTCTCCTATATATTTGGACCCCCTCTTCTCATTTTTACACACACAAACACAAACTTCTTCAATCTCCTTGCATATTTTATCCTCTCTAACATTCTTTTTGTGATTTCTTCATCACCATGGCCAAAGATAAGAACAGGGCAGGAGCTTCCGGAAAATCCAAGGCAAAATCCCGGGCCCCGGTAACCAATCCCGAGGATCGCATCGACTACGGCGATGGGACGTATCTCTGGTTCGATTCCGAGGAGGAGCGCACCCGTTTTCTCACCTTCTTCTCTAAACGGGTTGTGGCTCCCCCACGAATCATCCCGGAGCGCTACCCGGAGCTGCAAGGCTACGACGACCTTGACGCACAGCTTCATCAAGCCGGCCTTTGGCCGTTCGTCTCCCGGGCACGCAAGGAGATCAACC